TTGTTTGTTTTCAAGAGATGTTTGAAAGAAGATCAAATGCTTGTGAAAGGCACTGGATCGGCAGCCCTAGAAACTGAAGTGTCCCGGAAGCTGTGTGAGCCCGGAAATATCCCACATTTCTATTTATTTTGGCAATTTTACTTAAAACTAGTAAGAGCTGGAGTTCATGCTACAATTAAATTTTCCTCAGGCACCATGAAATGAAAACAGATATTACGTTTGATTTTAACTGGTTGAGAAAAAGGGTGGTTTTCTGTAAGTTCATTCTATGACCTAAAAACAAAAGTTAAGGGTTCCTCACGTAAGATAGCCACGCTTCCTTTTAAGCTGTAATTATTTATAGAACTAGAGTTCTCAGGTTGGGAGGGGTCTTAGGTTCCTGAGCTCTCTCTTCCCATTATATGGGAAATGTTGGCAAGTGTGGGCTTGAACTTTTGGGTGATACGAGCCCTACCTCCACTTGAGGAGACCTATTTCATTATCAAATGGCTCTAATCTTCAGAACTAAGTAAAATAATATTAATTAAAACTTTAATAGTGCTTACTATGTACCAGGCACCAATTTACACACTATAATATATATTTGTGTACACACATACACACACACAATCACACACTATCACAACTCTATGAGGTAGATTCAATTATTATCCCCACTTGACAGATGAGGAAACTGGGCCATAGGTAAGTTACATGATTTGCCGAAGGTCACACCACTAGTAAGTGAGAGAGACATCATTTGAACCTAGGCAGTCTCATTCTAGATTCTCTTAACTCCCTAAGTGTTACTGTCTCTTCAATCTTTATAATGCTCCCTCATGCCTAGTACAGAGGTTTGCACATTTATGTGCCCAATAAAAAATATATTTCAATAATTTTATTTCAGGATCGTGATTCTTTACATATTCCCATTAGTTTTACACGCGATCATCAATTTGCCCTAAGAGAAACAATTGAAACAGAATTTTAAATGATGATTAATCCTCTGCCTACTTCAAGAAAGCATTGAGATGAGGATAAATGGGGTAAAATATATGGTGTTGGAAGGAGAACTGACTCTGGGTGGTGAGCACACAATGTGATATATAGATGATGTATTACAGGATTGTACACCTGAAACCTACGTAACTTTACTAAACACTGTCACCCCAATAAACTTTAATTAAAAAAGAACAGAAAAGAAAAGAAAAAAAAGCATCCAGGGGACTGATTGGTACATAACATTCACTATAACGTCCTCAGGCAGTTTTCACTTTGAGCAGTAGGTCTTTGAATGATTGCAATTTCAGCTAGAGAAGGAAATTCCAAGCATGCAACATTTGTGTAAGCCCAATCCCTATGCTGTTCTTTTTTTTTAAACTCTCTGCTTGTCTCACTATCCTATGCAAGGATGAGAGGAATCATGTCATCGGAGCAGTGCTATGTATTTTTATGTATATCTTTCTACTACAATTCACCTGCTCATATCAACCATTTGTCCAGCCAGCCAGCCAGCATTATATGCTGTGTATCATTGGATGCTTAAATACTAGGAAGAGGAGATGGAAAGACAATAGTAAATTCTTCCTTTTTATGTAGTTCATACTCTTCAGAAATCACATGTAGACATTCAAGATCATTGCTTTAGAGCTGATAAAAACCATTCCGAAAAGAAGTGGGTTTTAACCCATAGTCTTGGAGTTAAGCATTCTTTAACTAGAAAGTTCTATTGCTTTTATTTTTCTTTTAAAGTCTTTGTCTTACTTCTTGAATGAACTTCCTCATTGGGTATCATTACGGGTATCCAAAGCTTTGAGTCACAATTGATGTTTATTCAGTCATCAATGAAAGAGGGAAGAGAGAATCCTCTAAGGGGTCTTTCCATAGGTCATGAACTGTTCAATTCTTCTGCTGAACTTGGTCCCTTGAAGAGCCAGGTGGTAGTCGCAGTAGGTATTGGGCTGTGCCTGAGATTCTTATTAGTCCATGCGGATTATGTGTGTTCTCCCCTGGCCAGAAGGAGGTCAGCTTAGAACTCACACACAGTTTTACCCATTTCTGATCTCAGTATCCTTATTTTTAAGATGATGTGATTGAACCAAATGACTTCTGAGGCCTTTTGCAGCTCTCACATAACACGGTCTTCGTATTTCCATGGAGCAGGAACTCGTAGGTTTTCAGATGTAAAAATTGATGTGTGTGTGTGTGTGTGCATGCGTGTGTGTGCTTGAGAGAGAAAGAGAAAGAAACAGAACAAGAGAGCATTTTATAGGCGATGGAATGAGAAGGCAGTAGTCAGACACCAGAAATCTTCTGTCATGGGGTACATTGTGCCCCACCCCCACCCCGAAACTCGTATGGTGCAGTCCTAACCCCCAGTGTCTCAAAATATGACTGTGTTTGCAGATAGGGTCTTTGCACCAGATATTAAATTAAAATGAGGTCATCATGGTGAATCCTAATCCAATGTGACTGGTGTCCTTTTAAGAAGAGGGAATTTGGGCACAGAGATCTGTACAGAGGTAAGGTAATGTGACCACACGGCGAGAAAAAGGTCCATTGCAAGCTCAAAAGGGGCCTGGAACAGGTCCTTCCCTAGTAGCTCTCAGAAGGAACTGACCCTGCCAGCATCTTGGATGTCTAGCCTCCAGAAGCATGCGACAATAAGTTTCTGTTGGTTAGGCCACCTAGTCTGTGGTACTTTGTTATGCTGGCCCTAACAAACTTATACATCTTTTATAGCTGATCCCATAAATAAAATAAAAAACAAACCCAAAGTTCAGTAACCTCCTCTCAGAGGTTACCTCACAGGCTTCACAGGCCTTTAGGCAAATACTGGATGTCCTTTGGCCTGAACCTGGACTTGACTAAGAAATGCACCTTCCAATGACACTGTAGAACAGAAAATCTGGGAACTTGTATGACTCAATTCAGGCTTGCTGAGAATTTTGGTCTAATATTTAACTCTGGACATATACAGATATGAGCAATTCTTCTGTAATAGATTCACACAAAATTTAAAATGCATATCAAAGCCTTAATTTTTTTTAATCTTAATTCTTTTATTTAATTGTTTTTTAGGAGGGGAGGGAAATGTTGTGGCTTATTTGCCTCTTTTATAATTTTTGTTCTTTTTCCATTCTTGTCACAGTCTTTCTGTGGACTTTCTTGGGCATTATACTTTTTTCTTTTCCATTTTCTTCACGTTTATTAGCCACATCCTACCACAGGTGACTTCTCTTCCTTCTGTCACATGCATTATCTAGCTCCACTGAGCCTATTGGTCTTCATTTCCTCTCCAGCATTTCCCACTTTTCTTTATCGCTGTCTGCTTCTCTCTCATCGTCCTTGCCTCTGTCTGCTTTTCTCCTCCATTTTCCTTTTTTTTGTCTCTGTGGTCAGTTTCTAGCTCCAGTCTCCCTCCTCTGCTCTTTCTTCTTTCCTTTCATCTGCTGACTTGCTTCCGTCCCCTCCTTCTGTTCCCCTCCTGGGGGTTTCTTTGGCCCACCTTTCCTTCTCCTCTGAGACTTCGTTTTCTTGTTGGTAGATGGGGGCTGATACTGTAAACATCACAAAAACAATTGCATTGAGAACAGGCAGTTCCCTCGGTGTCCCGGAAGACAGAGCCTTTGAGTCAGCCCAGAATGCCTGGGCTCCATAGGACGCAGGAGACAGCACTGGTGCTGGAGAGGCGTCTAGACCTCAGTCACAAGACCCAGCATTCCTGAACTCTGGGACTCCTCTCTGACCCCACCCTCTCCCCAACTAGAAATTGAGAAGCACTGGTCACCTGAGAAGAAAAACAGTTAACCTGCCTTCACCATCCCCAGCACAACTTCCCAGCCACATTCACCTAAAAGTAAATTCCGTGGTGCTTGCCCCCTGACCATGGGCTGCCATGTTCTCTGCACACAGGTTGTGCCCAGTCCCTTTCCATCACTCCAGGTGGCTCCCTGGGGTCACATCTCTGCTCAGCCCCCTGCTTCTCCTCCAGTATCAGCTGTAGTCTTGGACTAGGGAGCAGCAAAGGTGTCATTGTGAACTTCTTGGGCTTTCTGCACAATGCTAATTTGGGCTCCAAAGAGTAAAACCATAGGGGTTTGTTTGTTTGTTTGTTTTTGTTTTCCCAACGGAGTCCCCAAGGAGACCTAAACGAGAGCTTTTATGTCCCTTACTCAAACTCCCTAGCTTTCTTTTCCTCCTTCACCTTCCCTTCAGTTCTCATTCTTTCTACTTAATGACTAAAATTTTAATTACTGATATTTGTTTGTTCACTCATTCATTCACTCGCTCAACAAAAATTTGTCAAGTGGCTAATGTGCATCAGATGATTTACATACTTTTGATGGCATACCTCTAAGGTTTGTTTCAAGTTTAGCTCTTAGAAAAAGACACCTGCAGATTTTGGTCATTAGAAGTTTCTAGGTATTATTTGAGCCAAACAGAAATTTCTATTTTAAATGTTTTTTTTCTTTAATTATGTTTTCCACTGCATGTGAATTTCAAATAGTTCCCATTTTAGAGTGTTGGTTTTTTTTCCACCATTGCAGAATACCAGGACTTGAAAAGTGACAGGCTTTGTTCTTAATTACAATATGACAGACGTTAACACTTGTCCAACAGTTGTTTCGTACATGAAAAGCAATGTATGTGCATTAACTTACTTAATTCTTACAACGATCCAATGAGGTAGCTAGTACCATTATCCCACTATTACAGAGGAAACTAAGGCTTGCAGAGGTTACATTGTTTTGCTAAGTTCTCTCAGCGAGTGATTGGCGGAGATAGGACTTGAGTTCTATCTGATCCCAAAGCCCATGTTTAGTCGCTGTTCTCCACCATCTTCTGGTTATCAGATCGCCCAACCCAGTGGAAGGGAGAATTTGCAAGGAGAAATGAGCAAAGGGATGGACACCTAGGGTGTCCTGCGAGCCAGGAGACTGTGGGGGTATAAGCACCGTTTGGCTCACCACACATAGAAGATTCTTGGGGATGGCCACATCCCACCCTGGCTGGCTTACCTTCTGAGCCTTGGGCATGTCGGTGTGGCGCTGGGCACGGACAGAGCGGGCTGCCTTGGCAGGCTTGAGGGGTGCGCAGTACATCTCCAGCCTCCTCAGGTCACAGCTCCGGAAGCAGCACTCGTCCACGATGCCTGTCTGAGGCGCCCTCCGACTGCTGGAGCCGTAACCCGTGGGCTTGTCTGTACAAATCAAATGCAGAGTGGCCTGGCTTTAGAGTAGGATATGCTATCTTCCCAGCTCGACCTGGCCTCTGAAGGCTCTCCTCTCCCCACACCTGGTCAGCCCACACGTTTGCAAGTCAACCTCTTTTGGAAGCTTCTCCAACTGTTCCTGACCCCACAGATCCCTCAGGATGCCAGTGTGTCTCCTGGTGTCTGTATTACACTCCATAGCACTAACTCATCCACAACACACTTTGTGTTAATCAAGTTCTCGGCGACCTTTAGTCAGGGATCTTGTCTATGCCCAATCCCAGTCTTTCCTTATGTATTTGCTCAGCTGAGAGGCTGCTAGGAGTATAACTTAAGGGAAGGTCATGTGTTCAGTTTTCTTCATCTCTTCAACAAATCTGCATAGCTTCTATATGCAGGATGGCTCAAACATTTGCTCTTTTGCTTGATTGCTTCCACTGTAAAATCTGACTGAGCTTCAATGAGGTTTTACATATAGAAAGGGCTCTTCGCTTTACTGATGTGAAAACTGAGACACAGAGTTGGAAATGACTTGCTCAAGACCATTCATTCATGCAGTAATGGTAGAGCCAGGATTCAAACTCAGGTGTCCTCTCTGCAAAGCTGAAGTGCCTCACAGAGCCTGGGAGACCTGTTGTACAACTCTGGGCAAGTCATTTAAGCTTTCTGGTTCTCAGTTTACCCATCTGTGAAGTGGGGTTAGTAATATCTTCCTTGTACAGATTATTTAAGGATTACGTAAGCTACTGTATGAAAATTACTTAGGGTATCACCACCCATACAGAAGATCCTAAATAAATAAATATTGGTTTGCGTCCTCTGAGCACTCCTTTCCAGGATCTTATATGATCTGTGAAGAAACAATGTTACTATTAATTGCATCCCAAACCTTGGAACTTGGAACTGATGACAATACCAAAGGGATAGGGCTCCTTTCCTATCACCCCAGAGAGACCAAAAAAATCCATTCCATTTTCTTACAGAATAGCTACTAGCCTGAGACAGAATGAGCGAAATGTCCATTTTTCATGTGATTTGAATTGTCCAAAGGGAACACCACGAATCAAATTTCTTTTGATATTTGCAAATTCATTAGACCTCTTTGCTTGGCAAGTAGGCTTTAGTTTGGTTTCATTTTGTTTTGTTTTGATTTCTAACACACTTTTCCTGGCTCTAGTATTAAAAGAGAAGGCAAAACAAGCTTACATGGACCTTCAAATTTACCTGAATTCTTTGTAAGCTTTATGTCATAGGAGAACTCTGTTAAACCAAATCTTGCTTATACATCAATATATAAAACAGACAAAAGAGAAACTGCTCAGGCTCAGGCAAGGGCGGGGGGAACTGGGTCTTGGCTTTCTCTCATGTTCCTTACCTCCCAGGGGAGGTGGGAGGCCTGGGTCTTCTCCACTCATGTCCAGGCTTCGTGGAAGAAAATTTGCAAACCATTGGTCCAGAACAGTCCAATTAATCAATCTGACACATATTCAATCTCAATTCCTGACACAGAAGACAGTGTTAGGAAGTCTAGTGTTTGCATAATAATGAAACCATTCTTTAGGATAAAGTTTGAAAGTGAAAATCCCCTTATATACTTTGAACTCCCTGGCTGGGGGAGATCAGACTCATGGTTATGGCCTGCTACCAAACTAGTTTGGCCGCCTTGCTGCTCAAAGGGCCAACCGTTTGTGGCATCCTCTAAGAGCCCAGATGTTTTCCTTGCGCTTGGCATGGGGATATTTCCTCCCCATAAGGCAGGTTCATTGTCATTGTTCGGGCAGCAGGGGTTAGTAACTCAGAGAGGGTTCATTTGCGGTCTCTCTGGTGAAAGTCCTGCTGCTTTCACTTGAGCACAAACCCTGTGGACTCCTCATGGTTGAGGGCTTTGGGAGGGACCGGGCAACTGGCCCCAACCGGAGCCTCAGTAGTGCTTCCATTGGCCCTTGGAAGGTAACTCGTGCATAAGACCCTGTTTCTGCTGCCAGGTGGGACTGGGCAAGCAGAGACTCAGCTGGTTCCTTGTGCAATGTAAACAATGTTTTCTGTTGTTTTTGTTTTTATAATATTTTCCTGGGACTATAAATTAAGGGAAAAACACATATGGGCTTACGTGGTCCTTTGTAATCACCAAGGACTTCTGCATACTTTTTGCTAAGTGGATATTTCAAAAGGCTGAAGGGGCCAGTCAGTCAAGAGTAGCTTGTTGTACATTTTGGTTTTTCTCTTGGGATACGGAGGAAGGAGAAGGTGACTAGGTCACTGTCCCTGTTGTCCACCTCAGGTGATGATTGCTCTTTGTTGAAACTACAAATTTCTTAATGGGACATAATTGAGGTTCGTCTGTTGACTATGGAATAGTCATTTGGTGTTTCAAGTGGGGTGGTGGGAGTGGTTCCAGGCTTGGCTAACTCAGAAATGACTGATTTCAAAATTTATGCTTTTGGGTGGAAGATGGAAATGGATAGACTTTGAGGTTCTAGGACCTATTCAGCATTTCTATTTCAAGCATTTCTAAAGCAATCTTCCTTCTAGACCCCGTAAGTACTGGAGCTCTTTGCATGCTACTGGGGGAAGTCACCTATCTTCATCTTGGGTTGGCAGAAAATGTCTGTGTTGCATATTCCTTTCTTGGTGATTGCCAATAGCCATGAAACTCACCACAGGTTTATTTCCTTTTAGGAGATTGAAAGCAGTCATCAGCACAACAGAAAATAATAGCACACACCAGGCATCTGGTTTGTCACCTCTCTTAGATGAACTCAGGGTTTGACAGGGCTCAGCGCATAAAATAGCTGTGCTTTTTTAGTCCCAAGATCAATGGATTTGGGAACAGAGAAATTTAGGACTTGTCTGTAATGTTTTAAAAAGAAAGTTTACCTCATGTTCATATATATATATATATATATATATATATATATATATATATATATATATATATATTTAATGTTGTTAAAATAGTGTTATACAGACTTGAATTTTGCCATAAATGAAACCACCAGGTAACTATGGCCACCACAATCCTAGAAAGATGTTTTTCTTTGTCTATTCATACTGTCTACAATTGAGTAATTGTACTTCATTGAGAATATATGAATATAACAAGAGTTTACATATTGCCTTCTAAAGTCTAATTAACCCTTTGAAGTGTTCTATAGGCTTGGTTTCTGGTTCAACATTAAGATATTCAACAAAAAAAATCATTTCTCACCAATCAAGAGGCCAGATGTAAGGGTCAGAGTTTTGTCTTTTATCTTCAAATGCCTCACATTACTTCTTCTTCCAGAACCAAAATAAAGACACTTGATGCTATGGGCTAACACCAGAAACCTGACACAATGAGGTTTACTAGAAAGGCAGGAAAATGATTTGCTTCAGCATCAATGTTGAGAAAAATGGTGATTTTTTTAATGATGTCTAAATTGCAGCTATTGTTATACTGACTAATTTTTAAATGCAACAGAACAAATTGTTTCATCCTGCCTTTAAAAACTTCTCATTAAGCACTGTGTAATTCCGCTCCAGTGGGCAGAATCAGAACTGGTAGGTGAATGGTCAACAACTATCGGCTTAATACAAGAACAATTTTTCTCACAATTTGAACTCAAAAGTTTTAAAGATGGAACAGACTTCTTTTAAATGCAATGAACTTCCCATTGCTGGAAACAGTTAAGTAAAGGTTGTAGGGACACCTGTCAGAGATCCTAGGATCATATTCCTGTATTGAACACTGTGTGTCACTATTATGGTCCTTTTCATTCCAAAGATTCTATAACAAATGAAGAAATGCAGGGGAAAACCCATCTAGGCCAAATATTCAACATGGTTGGAAGCTACTTACATTGTCTTCAAGAAAGAGGTTCAGATATTTTCTAACTTAGAGGGGGGAAAACTTGTTTTTTTTATTTATCATTGGAATTCCCCAAGATGCTCAAAACTTTTTTCCTTCCTGGATGCTACAACAAAAGACAGGTGATGGGGCTGGTCCCTTCTACACTAGGTACAGACGTAGAGTTCTGTCATGCTGGCATTATGAAGTATCTATAGGTCCACTTAGTTGTTAGAGTAAATAGGCGTGTATAAAATTTCACAGAATTTTCTTCACTGACAAAGTCTTGACATTGAATCTGCATATATTTATATATTTATTTTTGTTAGTCATTTTTCTCCAGAGCATGCAGACCAAAGATTGCTTCGCAGACAAGCTGGCCTCCCTCTAAGCTAGGTCTTGACTCCTCTCTGAGCAGACATCATATGTAGTCACAGCGCCCTGCTGTGTCTTGAAAGTTGGCCAACAGACAGGATTCCAATGGTTAAGCAGCTGGCTTCTATAATAATAGCACTTCCCTTTAAATAATGCATGGTCATTGGAGTAATTCAATAATCTTCAGGGCAAACTTGCTAGTTACAAGGGTTTTGGGCAGAACTGTGGCATCATCAAAACCACACCAATTAGCTGAGTCTCACGTTTTTTCATGGTTGCAAGCTACTTGCTTCCCTCTATCTCTGAAGGAGAAGGTGTAACGCTGAGATTTAATTGGGGTCATCACATCTAGAGCAGGGGGCTCTGGTTGTTCACCACTGGTAAAAATGGTACTACCTCTAGTACCATTACATATGATGCCACATAAGGCTGTATTTCTTATAGGCTTCAGAGAATGTAGTTGGAACATTGTACCCAACTTTCATTTCCTTTGAAGTTCCTCTCTTGTTGATATTGAGAATACTCTACTTGAATCATTTTAACTTTATCATTGGAAAGAGGAGACATTGATTTGAAGAATCAGTACTTAGATGATGAAAAATGCGAACATTTTCTGAATAGGGAAGTATCCAGTTCTGAAGATACACACTTGTGACTCTTTGGGTTCCGAGGAATAAAACTATTCTCTAGAAATTGCTAACAGGAGGAAGTTCTAAAGTTGATCCTATCTTGAAAGCAGGAAAAAAAGAAGTAAGAATTCAAGCTGGATTTCAAGAGCCCTCTGTAG